ATAAAAAAAAATTGATTACTATATCGAGAAATTATTAATTCAATTTTTTGTATGAGGTAGCCGAAATTTTTTTGGTATGAAATTTTATTGAGATACATTTCGTTTGGTATGCTTTGGTCTCGATTTTTTTGGAACGAAAAATTTGAAAGTTTAAATAGCCATTTTTTTTAAAAAAAATTTTGTATGAATGTGTTTGTCTTGATTTTTTCTTTTATATAAAAATTTGAATATTTAAATGACCAATGTTTTTTTGGTATGTCCGCGGAGCCACTTCAAATGCTGTGGTGAACTCCAACACTGTCAAGATCTGTAAATTAAAAACTAAAATAAAAAATTCTAGCCCAATTTTATCAAATCAGCCCAATTTATAAGTTCGGCCCAAATTCAATTTAGTTTTGAAAAAAAAAAATATATATAAATAATTGGTTCAATGTATTGTGTGTGAGAAAGGAGAATGCCAAAAGCTGCATCATTCCTGTTGGTATCCAAAAGAACAATATTTATTAAGTAAATATTAAGGTTTAAATATATAAAAATTATAGTGAAAGAGAGTAGTATAGATGTGAAATGGTTTTGATTTCTGTTTTCTGCCCCAACAGTTTTCCTCGACGTGGCCATACTTTTAACAATTTTTACATTGGTTTTTTTCTTGAAACCAACATTCTTCTTCTTTGTGATTATTTTTATTGCAAATTCCACATGGTATATCATACTGGGAAATGCTAAGGTCCCGTTACGATACCATCCCGTCAAGTGTTTTAACCGTTGGATTAGTTTGTATAAGATAGATAATCCAACGGTTTAAACACTTGACGGGATGGTACCGTAACGGGACCGTAATCTTTCCCTATCATACTATACTTTCTTTTTGTTATTTTCTATTTTGTTATTGTTATTTTCTCCAAATTTTCTCACCCCAATTTTAGAATTCTGAGACCGTAAATTTAATTTTGACTGAAATTTTCGACTGTTTCATTTTCACGCTTACTCAGTCTTTTTTCATAGGCTTCAAGTGAACCTATTGATTCAGTCACTGACAACTTATCCAAATCTTTAGTTTCTTCAGTCGTCGTGACAATAGGATCATATTTAGTTGGTAGAGTAATTAGTATTTTTTCTACCACCCTTTTGTCAGTGATATTTTCTCCAAATGCTTTTAATTGATTTACTACTTCTCTTAATCGAGTGTAGTAATTTTTTACAGTCTCAGATTCTTTCATTTTCATATTTTCCAAATCTCTTCTTAGAGTTTGTAATTTTAGATGGCGTACCTTGTTACTACCCTGATATTCTTCCTTCATAATATCCCAAGCCTCCTTTGATGTCATTGCTCCGCTAATTCTTGGAAATAGGGACTCCGTCATGGCCATTTGTAGTGTGAAAAGAGTCAAACTGTCTTTTTCCTTCTCCCGATCGAATTTTCTTCGTCCGCCGTAGACAAAGTGGATATGTCATCGGGGATAGTATACCCGTTCTCGACAATATTCCATAGGCCTTGAGACATAAAGTATGTTCTCATTTTAATAGACCAATAGTTATAATTTTCGCCGGAAAAAATGGGAATTGGTATTTAATGGGTATTTTGGGAAGTTGCCATTTTAGAAATTTAGTAGGCTATATAAAAGTAAGAGGATATGTGAAAGTAGGGTATTTGGACAAGATATGTAAAAATAGAAGGATAAGGAAAAATAATTTCGCCCAGCTATTGATCCAACCGGGCTCTGATACCACTGTTGGTATCTAAAATATGGTATTAAATGTACATGAAGATATTGAAAGATAAGCATATGATTTTGGGAAGAAAGGGATTGATTTTATTATTTTATTTGGTGTAGTAAATTATTGAAGTAGCAATTTCTTTTTTTTTTTAGAAGAGACAGAGTCGGAACAATTGCTATTCTTTGCGTCCAACAGTACAACGGGAGACAAAAGAAGTATTTGGTACTTGGACAGCGGCTGCAGCAATCACATAACTTTTGATGACAGTCTTTTTTTCAATATTGAAAAATTCTGTTCAAAAGTCAAGATTTGAAACGACAACTACGTGGAGGCAACGGACAAAGGAACTATCGCCATTGACACAAGATAATGGACAAAATACATCAAAGATGTCCTCTTAGTTCCAGCAATCGATCAAAATCTACTAAGTGTCGGCAAAATGTTGAAGAAAGGCTACAACTTGCATTTTAGGGGAGAATCATGCACCATTTACGACAAGAACAATAAAGTAATTACAAAAATCAAAATGGGGGAGAATCAGTGTTTTGCAATGGAATTTCAATACCAAACACAAATTACCAAATCAAGTCTCAACAATCAAGGAGAAGTTGTCAAGGAGAAAAATATCGGAGTCCCTAAATCACACAATCAAGATAAGCAAACAAACACAGTCATTAGAAGACAAGTTTCAAAGCCTCAACAACAAAGGTGCTACAATATGTGCAATCGAACAATTGTCGAGCCAATAAATACAAGAGAAATCATTACAAGAACAATTCAAAGACAAGCCCTACAGAACCGCTACATACATGGACAAGCAAAGAAAGGTCAAGTATATCTTCACAAAGGAGAAACTTGCGGATATTTTCACAAAGGCTTTACTGTGACCAAGATTCGAGGCTATGTGTGAAAAAATTAGAATTATCCAAATGAGCATTAAGGGGGAGTGTTGAACAATTAATGCTCATTTTAGAAGGTATATAGTTGGTAGTAATTGGTTGTTAAATTAAATAAATTAGTTAATTAATGATGTATTAAAAAAATAAAATATCTAGCTTATGTCGGTTGAAACCACGACTTATGGTGGCTAAATATATGTACTCATATTGTGGAAATAAAAACATTGAGAAAGAACTTCAAGCTCCTTACCTCCATCTATTAAAAAAAAAATATTGCTACTTGAATAATTTATTACACCAAATAAAATAATAAAATCAATCCCTTTCTTCCCAAAATCATACGCTTATCTTTCAATATCTTCATATACATTTAATACCATATTTTAGATACCAACAATTCCTATGCTACACATGACAATCGTGTAGCATTGAGAGAGGGCGAATGGGCCTAAAATCCAAAACCATGCTACACAATACAATCGTCCAAACCTATACTTAAGTAGAAAAAAAAATTTATTAATATATTAAAATTGAAAAATCAGAGTTCAGTGTCAACTCAGTTTGCGCACAGACTCCAACCTCAATTTGCACACAGAGTCACAGACACGAACGCACGCGGAACTCCGGCACCGTCTCGGTCTCGGCACTCCGATCATCCATCTTTCTCGTCCTCCGTCCTCCTACAGATACCTGTTACTATTATCTTAATCTTGTAACTTGTAAGTTTTTTGGTCTTTGTTATTTTTACTCACTTATNGTGTTACTATATATCCTAATCTTGTAAGTTTTTTGGTTCTTTGTTATTTTGTTCATTTTTTTTTTTAATTATTAATTTTGCCCTAATTCAGTAATATTGTGTCTAATATGTGTTGGGCTTGTGAGTATGTGTTCAAAATCTGAATGAATATGCCTAATACTGTACCTAACATGTGTTGGTTTCTCATTTTATATTGCCTTTTGCCACATCATGTTGTTATTGAATGTTGTACAAAAAAGTTGTACAAATAGCTTTTTCCTTGTTCTTTATGTTAATTTTACTTTATATCGGAATGTTAAGTTCAAGTTTCATCAATCTTACTGTGGGGAAACTCCGTTGTATATGTTATAAAAGCATCATCTGAAAGCCCATATAACTAAGAAGGAAACATGGCCCATTAACAATGAAGTGCCTAAGAGCTAGCTACACACAAGAAACTTGCGGACCTCCACATGATCGGCCCAAAATTGAGAAGACTATTTTATGGTCACCTGATCACCGCTAGTCCCACTTTCGGAGAAATCTTCTCCTCGCCGGCCAACGTTCTTTATTTCTTTTGCTATTTCATAGAGAACTTTGTGTCTCACCAGCATATATAAAATCGTATTAGCCCCTCGATTAATCGAATCTCATCCTCCCTTAGTCCCGTGTGATTAAGCACCGTTGGCGATATCTCATCAACACGATGTTTGAAATAATTATTCACAACCTTTAATTTCTTATTTTTCTTCTTTATCATAAATTTTTTAAACATACATGAGATAAATATACTAAACTATTACCTCATGTTATATTATGTCAAAAATTCTATTGGATGCAAAATTACTTTGCATTCATCTTATCATAGATAGATAGATCGATTAACAAATCAGGACAAACTGGACAGCATAGCCCCACAAATTTAATACAACACTACTTATGGACTTCCACTGCAATACCCAAATATATAAACATTGAAAGGACTTCCACTTCAATACCAAATATATAAACATTGCTATTCAGTTATTCCATGCCAAATTTCCCAACCATAAAAACAAAACCCTACACCAAAGCCCTATATACATATCAAGGGCCTTTTTCGAAAACAGAAAATTAAATNCACCTTCCCACACATATATATCTACCTATATATATCACAAGGCAAAGGGCAAAAAAGGTGTCACCCAAAAGCATATATATCTATATCGTGCTTTCATTTTCAATCCACCGGAAGAAAAAAATAAAAAATAAAAAATGGATCCCGATGCATTTTCGGCTGGGCTTTTCAAGTGGGATCCAAGGGCGGCGGCCCTCCAGAACCGGCTGCTGGAGGCGGTGGTGCCGCCGGCTCCGGCGCCGGCGCCGGCATACCCTGTGAGGCCACGGGAGCTTGGGGGCCTGGAGGAGCTGTTCCAGGCGTACGGGATAAGGTACCTGACGGCGGCCAAGATAGCTGAGCTGGGTTTCACGGTGAATACGCTGGTGGACATGCGGGACGAGGAGCTTGACGAGATGATGAACAGCCTCTGCCACATCTTCAGGTGGGACCTTCTCGTCGGCGAGAGGTATGGTATCAAGGCCGCCGTCAGGGCTGAGCGCCGCCGCCAGGACGAGGAGGAGGCAAGGCGCCGCCACCTGCTCTCCGTTGACACCGCGCATGCACTCGACGCGCTGTCTCAGGAAGGTAGTTTCTTAATGGTTAATTTTAGAATATAAAAAAAAGGAAAATGATGTGTTTTTGCGATTTAGTCGGTGAACTGGTTGATAATTGTGATTATTAAATATTAAACTAAAATTATTCAAAGTATTTAAAATTTGCATGCATGAACAACATATGAAATGTTTTTTTTTTTTTTNTTTAAAACTATTGCATGATAACATATATGTTGTATTAAACTATTATTATATAGCATAATTGTACATGTGATATTTGTTTAATGAGTCTATTTAGAAACACATGTGATCGGCAATGAAATAGTAGAGGACTTGGACTTTAATTCTAAAATAGGTACTCAATTATATTGGTAATTTAATTTTATTAATACTAAACATGTTTCCTAATATTTTAAAGCAAAATCACAAATGTAAAATTTTATTTAATTTTACATTACAAATCAAGATTAATTGACAACAAGACATGATAACTTTTTTTTTCAAAAAAAATAAAAAATAAAATAAAAAACAGCTATTATATTTTTTCACTGCCTACCAATAACTAAAGCCTATATTAACTAGCATTTATGTATAGTCATGATAAATATTTAGCTATGTCAGCTATTAACACTAGAGTTTGACCGAATTAATTTTACTTTTTCTTTTTTTCAAACGTAACTAGGGTTATCGGAGGAGCCGGTGCAGCAGGACAAGGAGGCGGCCGGGAGTGGCGGCGGAGGGGTGTGGGAGATGGTGGTTGCCGGCGGCCGGAAACAACCGCAGAGGCGGAGGAAGAGCAGCAAAGGGCGGTCGAGAATGTCGGCTAACTCCATGGAAGAGGATGACGATGATGACGATGAGACCGAGGGAGGGGATGACGACGAGAATTACGGCGGCGGAGGCGGCGGCGGTGAGCGGCAGAGGGAGCACCCGTTCATCGTGACGGAGCCTGGCGAGGTGGCGCGTGGGAAAAAGAACGGTCTCGATTACCTCTTTCATCTCTACGAACAGTGCCGCGAGTTCTTGATTCAAGTGCAGAACATTGCAAAGGAGAGAGGAGAAAAGTGCCCCACTAAGGTCGGTATTAATTACTGATTTTTTATTTGTTTTGTTTTATTATATTCTGTTCTAGTTAATGTGTGGAAAAATGTAATTAAATATGAAATTAATAAATATTAGGTTGCGAATATAATTTTTTTTTTTCATTTTTGTTTGTTAGGCAATATTAATTTGACCAAAATTGAAAATTTAACAAATGAATTCTCAATGTTTCTCTACAAATCCCCTAAGGCAATTGAGAAATTATTATTATTATTATTGTTATTCAACGGAAAAAAATAATATTCCCTCGCTCACATATTCCTAATTATTATTCTTGTCAATTAGTGTTTAATTATTTTCATGCCATATCAACTTTAGTCCCTTTTATTTTATGTCCATTCATGATAATTGCAAATTTATTTCATTTTATATCCTCTCGCAGCTAATGTATCTTGAAAAGAAATTATTACTAATATTCAAAAGGATAATGAAAATTACATAATGGAATACTTATGAAATTAATTAAATGTTGTATTAGGAAAATTAAAAGGTACAAAAAGCCAAAAGGTGCAGTTAGCAAGCTTTACATGTTTTCTAGTATCTTTTTGTCGTACTTGGGTAAAAAGATAATGCAGAAAAATACCCTGACAATGAAACATGAAAAATAAAAAATCAACTTTTTATCAGAAAAGAGATGAGGACAGTGGTCATAGCAAAGGATTCATGTGTTAATGTGATGAAACTTCCGTACTGATGGAGCTGTATTGGGCTCAAAAAGAGGGCCTAATTGTTGTGTCAGATTACAGATCGAGCTGTCCACATGAGGCCTCGACAGCTCATGTACGACTCTCTGGGCTTCTATGTTAAAAAAACTGAGGGGCCCAAAGAATCATCTGCACATCAGTCCATCCCGGGAACTGACACCTGTTATTTCCCTTTTTTTCCATCTCTTTTTCTTTTTTGTCCCTTAAATTCAACCCGATGTTTTAAAAACTCTATTGTAGGCGGTAGTATCGGATATCGCTACTTCAATTGGTCATATAGCACTTTCACACGCTTGATTCAAATAGTTTGTTTTGATGGTACTTCAATTAGTTGTCTAGTACTCTCATAAACTCAATCACAGTTTTGATATGGAGTAATCAGATGACTCGACTTATGGAGTCATCTACTTATTCACCAATAGTATATTGATACGTATCCTACAATAAATACAATTTGGACATGTGTCAATACAATTTGAATGACTTCATAAGAAAACTATTCGATAACTCCATAGAATTTTTAAACTCAATCAACACCTATTCAAAATCCAATTTGACAACTTATCTACTAGCACACAACACGACGAACACTGACCACTGGTCTTT